TTTCTGAGTACCTTTGCCCAGTGTGGTCTTATACCGATGTTGTGTTTCATGTTTGAGACTTACATTGCTTTGCTGATGAAATACTGTACCTATTCCGTCAACTACATTTGACAATTCGATTTTAGAGGACACACCCAATCAACATTGAATTGCTTGTTATGTACTCGTGTTTGCGAACTTGCTAGAAACTCCATTTTAACATATTGTAATTTGTTATTAAATGAGGAATATGGTCTGAAAAGATGTGAAATGTATTAAAAATGACGGAGTTTTCGAGTAATTTGTTAAATCTCGTTAGCTAAATTGATTGGGTAATCAAGTGATAGCGTGCTACGATAGCGTAATGAGGCTTTTGCGTGATTCCCATCGGGCGGATTTAGTCTCAATCACCTGACACTAGAATTTAATTTTTTAAAACAATACACTAGTAAGTTGGCAAAATAGCAAATATAAATATTTTTGTTGTTTTGATTTGGTTCGATTAAAATCATAATCATAGATTAATGATTATCAAACACCTTGACAAATAATAAACAAGTATGAAGAAATTAAGACAGATGCAATTTTTATACGACGCTGGTTCAACCATTAATTGACAATGCAGCCGCGACATCTATCCAAATTGCTGTTTAGCAAAGCAACAATATCGCTTGTAGCGCAATGCACTACTGGGCCGCGCCGCGCATCAAATAATGTTTAAACTTATTGTAGTGCAATGCATTACTGGGCCGCGCCGCGCACTCAATTATGCTTCTCGCAAGATCGTTGACATACGTTGCATGCCACTTTTCGCGCGCGAAGCGCGCGTCGCCGAAGGCGGAATATTATCTTTGATATTGCATGGGATACGAAACATGTATCAACAAGATCGGCGTTAAATCGGCGAAATTCGCTATTGGACCTTACCTGGGGACCTCAGGCTATTATGTTTATAAACATTCCGAATAGAGATTAGAATTAGGCGGAATGACAGGCTGAGCGCATTTTAGTAATACTGGACCCCGCCGAGCTGCGAAGAATTTACGTCGTCAATTAAGTTTACTTACAAATAATGTTTCTTCGGTAGATCAGCAAAATGCACCATTTGGGCCTCATCGAGCTGCAAAATATTGACATTGGGAATCAACGATATCATAACTCAAAGCAACCATGATAATTCGCGCGGCGCATCGAAGCGGTGACGTCTTCAAAGTTTAAACGGGGGAAAAAATGTGTTTTCCTTTAAAACTGATTTGTGACCATTATTTTGTGTATTGGATGAATTTAAATTATTGAAGCATGTTGATTCACGATGTCAATCCTTCGCAGCTCGGTGAGGCACAGTGGTGCATTTCGCCGATCTACCGGTTGCGAGAAGAATTATTTGATGCGCGGCGCGACCCAGTAGTGCATCGCGCTACAATGAAGCATGCCGCAGAAAAGATTAGCGTTATAAGTAGGGTCAAAAGTAATCTGATTGTTGTCATGCATGACATTTTGTATATTGTATCTGACGCTTAGTCTGCGATTTGATTTATAAGAACTCGCACGATATTTAATATTTATCAAGAGATACAGAGTTGTTAAAACCATCCAACTCACTGCAGTACTGTCCACCGCTGTTTAAACCTGATAAACACTTCCTAGAGCATATTTGTTCAGGGTGAGAGTGCCTAAAATGTGCCTTCTTCCTGCACTTTCATCACATACGTTCTCAAAATTTTGTCATAGTTGGATAGTATTTCGGCTAAATTTAGAGTATGCATTTACTTTTCATTCGGTTGTTTCATAGAATTCGATCCCCCTGTACTGTGTTGCATACAAGCTTTCATTTGGACTTCATAATTCCTATTGCATGTTTCCACGTCACCGTTTATTTATCTTTCATTTGAGTGTTCATGTAGGTTGGTCGTTACAGGTTTACCTTGTTCTGACCAAGGAGACATTACACCTATGTAATTTCTCATCGATCCGATAGATCTCTAGCTGCTCCCTAGACTAGGTGACACTAGAATTTGAACTCTGCACCTTCTGCACTGAGGGAAGAAGCTCCAACCACTGGGCAACCTGAAGTATTTATCAGTCATCGGTGTTGCCAAATTTTATTAATCGATTGAATTCAATTTTAATTCAAAATGTTGTCAAGGTACATTTTTGAGTTAACCAATTATGATTAACTCTCAAATAGGAAGAAATATATTCGCTGGTATGGTGTATAATGACAGTGATTTTAAGATTATCGATTTTTTCGTAACAGTTAACTATCAGCCTAAACTGACAATTTATTTATTGGATTGGAAATAACAATGAGTTTTAACTTCTTCAGATTTGAAATGGTCGAAACATATTAAAAGTTGTATTAGTAAAGCAAACAGTATGATTGCATGGGTTACAAGGAATCTCATTATAAGAGAAATTAATGTTATGAGAAATGTTTATAAAACTATAATAAGACCCCACTTGGAGTATTGTGCTCAGTTGTGGTCTCCACCTGCCTGCCATGGGAATTGGGCTACTATCATTGAACTGGAAAATGTCCAGAGAAGGTTCACACGCCTTATTGATGATATTGGAACACTTCCTTACAGTGAAAGGTTGGATGCCTTACAGATTACAACACTCGCAGAGAGACGGGTTAGAGGAGATTTGATTGAAGCCTACAAAATTGTAAATGGATTGGTTGAGTATGGAAAAGATATTTTCAATTTAAGTAGATCGGGAGATAAAATTGTTAGCACTAAATCTAACAATATTAATAGAAATATTAAAACCTTGTCTAATAATTTTTTATCAGAGCGTGTTATCAGCTTTTGGAATAAATTGCCATCTTTTGTTAGAAATTCAGTGTCTGTTATTGATTTTAAAATTAATCTAGAAGAATTTAAAAAGACTAATTATTTAGTAGACACAGGCAACTTTTGGGAAGTGTCAAATATAATTTTAGCAAAAATAGAGGGTGTAAATTATATCGAAAAGAAGAAGCAACAAGTCCAATATTTATATAAAAATCCGTGTGTTGCCAAGAGAAAGGGAATAAATATCTCATGAATTTGTTTTTATTTATTTATTTTTTAAATTAACGGTTTTTAACTTTTTAAACTTTTTTATATGTAAATAAATTATGACAATTATGTTAGTTATAGAATTTGTTTGTTTTTTAATGACGAAGGCTGTGAAATGTTCACAGTTCTGATAATGAGGAAATCAGAAAGAATGTTTAAAACTAGTGATGATGTTTATGTCATTATTCTTAATCTAATCTAATCTAATCTAATCTAAATCATAAAGACACAGCTTTATTCAGATACATTCTCTATAACTATCATCTTGTTTCAGTCAAGCATTGATAATGATATGTTTGCTCAACGCACCAAGGAGACTGTTGGCATTAAGGAAGCTAAGACATGAGAGATTATTTACTACACTGGCTTCTGCTGCAGACAGCAACAATTCTTCACGCCCTCTGCCTGTGCCCAAGGAAGTCAAGAATCGAATAAAGACACTGTGTTCAAGATATTCTCCCTGTCGGACTAGTTTTCAGCTTCAGTTTAATGACTATATCAAACTAAAGAATAGAATAAAGACTTCGCGATATTTTGCATTACTAGGAGGCTATGTTTTTGGGTGCTTTACGTTTGCATCAAATAGTATGTGGTTTTTTCCTTGGCTGATGTCAGACTCTCCTCTCACAATTATGTAAGTAAAACTCTCCTTCCTAAATACATAGTTTCACACAATATAGATATTACATGCTGCTCATTAGTAGCTAGAACACCGTGGCCGTCATATCTGCACTGGGAGGTGTCTAATGTCTATCCGTAATAGACTAAAACCCTGCTCAGTGATGGCTACTGGCAGTTATCGGTCAACATTGCATCATGCACCAAAATCAAGTGAAAGACACAAGTAAGAGAGGTTTACGTTTCCTGGAACTGGTGATTGCTGATATTTCCCTAATTGGGGCGAATAATGGTTATCTAATATCTATGACTACTGGTAATTATGACAATTTGCGCTTCTAACACAATGTGTCATGTAGATTTAAAGATGCTTACTTCTTGTCGTTTCAGGGGAATGGAAGGAATTGATCCAATGATCATTGGAACCTGTATGACATTTGCATCTGGTATTACCTGTGTTATCATAACTGCATTCGGATATCGTAATTTTCATCTTAGAGTTATGGGCTCTGAAACAAAGGCAAACTTTTATCAGGTAAATCACAATAAATTGCAACTACAGTTTCAGTTACGAAAACAATTACAATTACAAAAACCGGTTACAATCACACTAATCTTCTCAGAGAGAAGACGATTTTCAGCGTCGGTTGAACTTATACAGATGTACAGACTCAGTAGAGGTGGGGTTTAGTGATGATTATTATGGAGATAAAATCAAGGACCTGACAGACTACAGATACTGGGTCCGGGTACAGCAGATTAAACTTGAGAACTCTCAGAGAGCTAAAGAAATGGCTCAGAAGTCAGATGAGGGGTAGTTTAGGGTGAACTGTAGGGTGAAATTTAGAGAAGTTAACGTTTGTTAATTTATTTTAATCGTGCGGGGGTGAGACTGAAATGTCTCATGTGAAATTTGTTTACCCGAATATTTCTAGATAATTATGTTCATTATATGAATTATTCTATTGATCCTAATTTATTGCCATATATTTATATCTTTTCACTCTCTAGTCTTCAATCTTGTTTGTAGTTGGGTGGGATAATAGCAAATTAATAGATGAATTTTGTCATTCACTTTATTTTATTAAGTTGTTAGCACAGTTATTCTGTTATATAGCTTTCAGTTGTTTCAAATCAATTCTGATAATTCTTTTTTCTGTCTCTTGTGATAAGGACTTCAAACACACTGTACAGATAATGTTTCCTTAATATTCCGTTATCTTGTAATATAAGCGCACTTAAACATAATCATCATATCCAATAACAATTTTCATTTGGTGCCGTTTATTCAGTCGGCAATCTGCTGCATTTCTTTCTTAACCCATTAATTGCCACAGTTCAGGATGATTATTGAAGAGGTTGAATTTCTAAAGCAATGGCTGGTCACTCAGCTGGAAATGATGTGAGTTTATCTTTTAAATAGATATCAATTTTTGTAATGAATCAATGTTATGATCTAATTCACAAAAAACAGAGCTTAAATATAATATCATGTGATCTAGTAACGAAGTTGCCAATACGCCTTAATAATCACACTAACATTGTTATATTACTCATTCTTCTATTACCCTTAGCTCGGAAGCAGATCCAAGCGTCCTGGCGAAGTATGTGATAGCTTTACTAAAAAAAGACGAGGCGTTCAATGAAGACACATTTGTGGAACAGTTAGAGGTTTTTCTAGATAAAGGTTTGTCCGCTTGTCATAGGTTACAATTCAGATTATCTTTCAAAAGAAGGTAAAATGCTCCTTTGATTTGGTGCTAGAAGCGAGTTCAAGATATTTGGTTATTTGAACAAATAGCTTCAACTGAACTCGGTCCTACTTCAAAGGCAATCAATTTCAAGAAAAAATGCTCATTCAAAATTTAAATCCGATCTGATTTTGACAAGTGGTTGATTGATGTAATGATTGATAGCCATGCCATTCTGATTTTATTGTATTTAAAAATAGATGATCTTGTTACTACTTGCCATTCTGGGTATTTTAGCAACATACATTTCAGAAACTGAGAGTTTTGTGAAAAATTTATACGACGTGATCGAAAGTAAAGAATACATGCCAGTGCCACCTAAGAAGAAGAGAGTTTTTACCGAAGTCAAAGAAGTCAAAGCAAAGGATGATCCAAAACCTGAACGGAAGATATCCATTGACACAAAAAAGGTAAACTTATGTACATTATATAATATAATAATAATTATTATTGGTTCTTGAATTTCATTGCATATTATAATGATTACGTGCTATTTGGTATTCGTAATGATTTAAGTTAACTAATATTGATTGTACAATATTTATCTATGCTCATCCTCATATAGCATTAACGATCTAATAATTTAAAAGTCAGTATCATTATTATTAACATGATTAATAAATAATAATTGTATGGAAATATTTCATAATCTGAATTTTGATTAGGAACATAATTAGATAGTGTTACATAACAGTGTATTGACAATTTTGACAGTGAAATTTGACTCTAGTTTGATTTGTTTTCATCGCGATGCGGTAATGACAATACACATGTCGAATACATATCATAGCACAATAACACAACGTTATTTTTAAATATAGTAAGTATATAATAATATATCGTCTTGCTTCAAAAACAGCTTGATCGATTAATTATCTTAAAAATTAAAAGTATCTCAATAATCAATTAATGTTTAATTACAGGGGACAGAGCAAAGACTAGTTGAATTATCAATAGATGTAAATACGGATGAGGATGATAAGATGAACGCGAGAAAGAGACGGTTTGAGGAGGACAGGGACAGGAGGAAACGTGGCAGGTAATATTCAGTAAAAACATATGATTGTGCACGTGCAAAATACTGTGCTTCACCACAAATATGTGCACTGTGTACGTGCAAAATACTGTACTTCACCACAAATATGTGCATTGTGCACGTGCAAAATACTGTGCTTCACTGCAAGTATGTGCACGTGCAAAATGAAGGAATGCACATAGTGAGCTGTGCTTCACTAAGCCCACTTGTTAGCACTTAGCAGTGTTGCAGTGTGATTATACTGTAATGGCATTAACTTTATAATCATATCTTTAAGTTCCTGAGATGTTTTACATTTTTGTAAATAAAGTCCTTCAAAATCAGTATATTATGATAATAATGTACTAACAAAATGATAAGAATGTAGGGTCCCTACATCCCTATATGTACAGTAGAGATCGTACTTCCAAAATGGTTCAAATTTCATTGTTAGAATGAACTTTGTACTGGGTTATATTACCTTTTTCACTGAAATTTCATTGTTAGAATGAACTTTGTACTGGGTTATATTACCTTTTTCACTGAAATTTCATTGTTAGAATGAACTTTGTACTGGGTTATATTACTGGGTTATATTACTGGGTTATATTACTGGGTTATATATATTATATTACCTTTTTCACTGAAATTTCCATGTTTGATAAAACGCACTTGATGCGTGCATTTTAACATGTTATTTTCTGCACCTCCGTGTAAATGTTGAGAGAACAAATGTTAAGATTTAAACAAATGTTAAGATAACAAATGTTCAGTCGGCCCGGAGGAAGGGAAGAGGAAACAAGGAGATTTAACACTGAATCTTACGAAGAGAGGAGAGATGTTAGAAGATTCACTGATAGAGGAGACAGAACGTAAGTACACACAACCTATAATATTGTTTATTTAATGTAAGTACGTAGTAATAAATATCCTCTAGTTATAGTAGTGTTTGTTTATACTACTGTGTTGTATGAATATAATGTGGGAAGTTCTCTGTGTAATGAATAAACTAGACGATGTTATTTTAATTTAGCTGCTGCCATCTCAATTCTTCATCCCACTAGTTTCTTTTTCTCTTACTCTCTCAACTAACCACCCCAGGAGATCAGACGAGCAAGCACCACGTGACCGTTACCCCGCATCACGTGACATAACACGTGACCGTGGTGACATAACACGTGACCGTGTCGGATACCCTAAACGAAGGTACACCCCAGACAGACACCAGTCCCGCTCCCCCTCCCCTCCCAAGAGATCTAGATCTCCACCCACCAGAAGATCTAGATCTCCAGTCAGGCAGCCTAGGAGTCCTAGAAAGAAGAGTAACTCTCCCCCGAGAAACGGGAAAGGTACTGGTTTCTTAATTTACACGTGTATCAGGGGATGTGACAGTGGTACACCAGGCAGAAGAAACTATTCAAACTCTCATATTTCCAAACTCTCATATTTCCAAACTCTCATATTTCCAAAACACCAAGTTTCACGTCTTATTAACGCACGTACATTCCATTGCAGCGCGTAAAGAAAGATGTCGTGATTTTGACGAGAAAGGCTACTGTCTGCGTGGAGGACTGTGCCAGTATGATCACGGTATAGACCCTGTAGTAGTGGAGGAGAGTAGCTTATCCAGTGTACTTCAAGCAGCTCAGACTCCTTCTCTTCCTCCTCCTCCTCCTGGGCCGTTCAGTGGTGCCCCACCTCTATTTCCCCCAGGTATTGTGTGTAAATATGCGAAAGTGTGTGTGTGGTGCTACATTTTGGCGTGTGTTAATTGAGAACGTGTCATGTTGAAATTGCTGCTTAATAAATTGCGAGTATGCACTACCAACCCCTCGGAAGGAAAATCTTGCACATTCTGTCTTATGATATTTAGTACAGGGTTAGAAATATTCGTCTAGTACCTGGCGAAGCTGATAACAATTCCAGTTTTTGTACAATGTTTTCCCGTGTATTGCAAACCAAATTACCAATGAAATGGTCCATGAACTAAGTCAGGCTCCCTCCATACTATTTATCATCTGAACCAGAAAACGACATTTACCTTCTTGGTGAAATCTTTCCAGTCTGTCAACAGCACCAAAACCACTGAATATTTTCGGCATAACCTGGGACAAATTACGGGAATAAGCTTCGCGACTAGCAGTAAAATTTTACAAATTCGTACTGTGTTACGCAACTGTCAACGCCGTAGTTGTGCGCGCACGCACCGTCGCGCGCAGCACCTTATCTTGTTCGTTATCAATCTCAGTCGGTCAGAATAATTGCATCGCCGACTGTCCACTGTCCAGGCTGCATCCTATTTAAACCAATACCTCACTCTTATCTACTATACAGCATCTTTATATTCACGATGCAATTGAATCACACCGACAAAAATTTGAAAATGGTGAATTTTTGAGAGTTCAACATGCAACCGGGCAACTCGATGGCAATTTTCAACATACATCGTTAGTTCGTATCTTGCAATGTCTATAAACCAAAGGGAAGCGTTCTTGAACGCCAGTAAAACATGATATATAACAATAATCCTATTCAGGTGAGACTTATAACCCGGATAAGCCAGCTCTGATTAACAACCAGACCCCCCTGGTCCCAGCCCCCGCTCAGCCTCTTCCCCCACCTCGGCCTGTTACGCACGCCTCCAGTACATCAGGTACTGGTAGTTACAGCTCTATTTTCAGTTTTCAAGGAGCCTCCACGGTCTTTCACATTCAGATTTTTAAAACCTGGCTTTATTTACCAAGCCATGTTGTCCATTTCTATTTCAAATAACAAAATATCCAGGATTATCAATGTGCCACCCTAACGTCGTAATATCTCAGCTCCCTCTGCACAGATGAGCGAGACAACACACCCCTCTAAACCTTACGTTCACACAGTCAAGAGAGCACCCTCTAGCACAGGTAACAATCCTCTCGTTGTAGACACTTTTTAGTCAGAGTTGTCCATCTTACGTCTGAATACTGGTGGAGAAGTAGTGAACAATATTTTTTTCTCGTCCAATCAGCCTCCTGGAATCACTGTCACGTGCCTTTTATGGTTCGCTTCCCCGTCAGTATTCCGATCTATTTGTTGATATCGTACTGTAATCGGCGCGGCGGTGAGACATCTTTTCATTAGCTCATTTCAACAAAAGTTCCCTTCTTAACTGTACAAAATTCAACGAATAATCCGATAATAAAACCTGACTGACTCGCATCCTCAGGAGTGCCTAGAAGCTTTAAACTAGTTGACGGTAGTAATATTATCACCGGAGCAGTTGTGCCAGTGGAACCAACCCAGACTACCTTACTTGTCAGAGACATCCCTTATCAGAGTAACGATAGTGCACTGGTGAGAAATATTAAAGTCAGCATAATTATCCTGAGCATGTCGCTACTCCTGTTATTTTAATGCACTGTATCTCAAAGAATTTGGGAAATTAATTATCTCAAATAGATCTTGATTATTTTCAAATTTACTGAATGTAACCTCTATCCAGCTGTCACATCATCTTGGAAAGTATGGTCCGATTAAGCAGCTGCAGTGTAGAGTGTATAACGATGTTCACACTGCTATGGTAGAGTTCCACTCCCACGACAGTGCTGCTGCTTGTTTCAACTCTAATATCGCTCTACTCGGTGTCAGGTGGGAGTTGTTGTACTGCTTTGTCGTGCCAATACAATTTAAGGACTAAAAGGAATTTTCTGTGGCATGATTTTAGGTGCCCTGTAACGAATGTGCTTCGAACAAACAGCTTGAATGAGGTGGTTATGGTTTTTTCTTATTACCCAAACGGTAACTGATTACATAACAATATAATTACCCGATAGGTACATAAAATTCTTTTGGAAGGAGGTGGTCCCAATATCTTTAGCCCCGTCCTTATTCAAGAACATGGGTAAGGTCACCACTTCCTCTATCCACCAAGACATGAACCTGGTGAATAACAAGACCTCGGCTCCACCACCCCCTGCTGCCTTAAGCTTAGTAACCAGTAAGTTAACCGTGTTTCTGTTCTTTATTCGTTTGCACCCTTAAAGTATTGCATTTGCATTTCACGTATGGCTTGGAACAAATACGTATTATCGTTAATGTCAATAAATGGCTTGTTTGACCCTTCACAGCGTAGAAGGTTCACTTTATCATTTATTAGGTTTCAATGGTATTCAATAAAGTTTATAAACGGTAACTTCTCCCCAGACAACAAACCAGCCACCACACCTCGAGAACAACCCAGACCTACAGCTGCACAGAAGAAACTGGAGCTTGCTAAAAGAACACAAGGTCTCCTTGCCCAGAACGTAGTAAACCAGAAACTAATTCTCAGTAAGCTGGAAAGCTGTAAGGTACTATCCGAGAAAAGGTCCATGTTAGAAACAATGAAGAAGCTACAGCTGTCACATGACACTATAAAAGCGAGCCTGGCCAGCATAGAAAACAGTGATCGAAAGAGAAAAGCTCCTCAACCCGTTAAACAAGCACCAGCTACCACCCTCGGTGCTTCCACCAACTTGGACTTGAGGCCCAAGGAGATTATTGTAAAGAACTGCAATAACGCAGAGGAACTTCACGAACATTTCAGGTAAAAACAACATTTTGCTTTACAAGATAGAATTAAAAATCGGGTCGAGCACTGAGCAACAAATTCTATAAATAGGTGCAATGCAACCACTAACCGTTATTAATGGCTAGTTACAGGGTACAGGGAATATGTTGCCAATTAAAAGTGGCTGAGATATTAAACCAGGGGAAGTTGTGGGGTTTGAAATGCTACTCTGGGGGGGGGGGGGGGGGGGGGGGGCCAACGCCCCAAAAGGCCCACACATATCGAAAATCCGAAAAGGGCCCTAGAAATCGGGGCTTTTTGGGGCCTTTTGACCCTGACCACTATTTGATAGTGTTTATGGACCATAATCTCCATGTAAATACACCCAAATAAACATAAAAGTACTGTGCAAGTAGTCAGATAATATCATTAAAGCACTTAGCATATATCAAACTTGATGAAATTGAAGTTAATTCTAGGGCCCCAAAAGGCCCTACACATATTGAAAATCCAAAAAGGGCCCTAGAAATCGGGGCCTTTTGGGGCGTTGGCCCCCCCCCCCCCTACTCTGGTATAATTTCTACACATTATTTAAGTGCATAATCCGAGGTAATGATCACTGACCAGTCTACTTTCAGTAAATTTGGCACCTGCACTGTGATACCCTCTGGGGTTGGTGTCATCATCGGGTTCGACAAACGCCGGGACGCTGAAATGGCCTACGTAAAGGGCAGGATTGTTGATGACCAAGAGCTCGATATAGAGTGGAATAAGACCGGTGAAGTGACTTCTTCTCAGGTAGGAAAGTGTTATGCTTTTTAAATTATGAGGTTCAAATGAGTAAATTTTGCAAAGTCAATTCAATTATTCTCAATATAATACATCGCATTGCACGGAAAGCTAAATATTTGTATAGTTAGTACAGACGTAAATTGTTTGCGCCTCTATCAACCTTAACCTGTTCCCTCTGTAAACTAATTCGACTCTCAAACAAATAACAGAAACTACCCGTCATCCCATTGAGCATGTTGATTGTTATCATTTAAACGGAGCTTATTATTCCAGGTAACCGTAGAACCTATAAGATGACGATTTGACCAACGGTTAACTTGACGTCAGACGATTCAGTCGAGAGGGGTAACGGTCACGTGACATCGCAACCTATTTCACGTGACGTAATTACTTAAAGTGACGTCATTACTTAAGATTACGTCATTACTTAAGATTACGTCATTACTTGAGGTGACGTTATCGCGGCCCCTCTTATGAACTGTTATAGACATGGACAATGTATTGTCTAAGAACATTCAGCGACGAACGATTTTGTGGTTGAAGTTCAGTGTATTCGAAAGAGCAGAATGCTTTTTCCTTTTTTGTTGTTGCCAGGACTATGTCGCTAATATTGTAAAGTTAAGGCATATTTTCAATGAATAACTTTGCGGTGGGTATTATTGTAGCAAAGGCTATGGGATTGCTAGATATTTGATTTGGGCTAAAAGCAATGGAAAGGAATCTTCATAATAGTTAGAATTATTTACCTTATAATGTTTCCTGTTATTCTGACAGCATATAAAGGTCAGCCAAATTTAGGCGCCCTCAATTTCTGTGGTTCCTTGCTCAATATTTTCGCCATCATGGTTTGCTTGAAAAGCCATGATGGATCCATAAACTCGATCTGATGAAACTGCTGATGAACCAAAATATGAACTAAATTTCAAGCACACCACCAGAGAGAAACATAATTCATTGAGCATGGTCCTATAACTATATAGGGCCTGTCTCAAACAAACTGCACGTTTTCCAATACCTGCAACAGCTGTAGGATAGATAAAATGATCAACTTTCAATTTCATACATTAACTAATCGATAACCTGATTTGGCAGAATTCGAGAAGCCGACGGGCTGTGTCGTGCCTCTTGAATTTTGCCCAATTTTTTCCGTTTCCATTGTTGATCCTTTCAATCTTTAATTTTGAGTTTGAGTTGAATTATCCAATATTGAATATTTCCATTATACCAACAACTGACGGTAACATTCAAGCTCTTCCAGTTTTTACACCATATCAGTCTTTCTTTCACTCAAATATTGTCCAAAAGCGATAAGGTAATTATAATATTACGTAATCACTGAGGGGGTGGAGAGGAGAGAGGGTCTTTAAATAAAATATTCCGAGAGGCACTTTCCTCTAGAAATATTATGTATTACGACATAGCCATATGGCATCGGCAAAGTTACGAACAAGCGGCACCTATAATTGGAATCAAGGGTGGGCGACAATTGACCCCCCGACAATATAATTTAATACAATTAACCCTGACCCTGACCCAGGACCCTAACCATAACCATAACCCTGACCCTAACCCTGACCCTGACCCAGGAACCTAACCCTGACCCAGGATCCTGACCAAGGACCCTGACCCTAACCCGATCAATTGACCCCAGTGTAATTACATTGGGAGTCAATTGTCGCACTGAGCCCTAGATTTCGCGACAATTAACCCCAGTGTAATTACATAGGGGGTCAATTGTCGTACTAAACCCTAGATTTCGCGACAATTGACCCCAGTGTAATTACATAGGGGTCAATTGTCGTATTAAACCCTAGATTTTGCGACAATTGACCCCAGTGTAATTACTTGATTGACGGTGTCAACCCATCGAGATCGTTGCTCTGCGAAGCAGAGCAACGATCGACGATGGGTTTGCGAAGCAAGAATGCTAGTTCGCGTCGAAGCGGCGAAGTCCTCCAATGTAATTACATTTACATAGGGGTCAATTGTCGCGGTACCGGAATCAATTACTGAACCGATGAGACGTAGCTGAGAATTTACTTGTACTTGTAGCGTCATTCAATTTCTACGGCACTATGTCTATAGTGAAGAGTTTTAACGATACAGGGGGAGCTTGTATCACGTGGTGACCCCCACTGTCGCTTCACTATAGTATCGTCTTCGACGATACAGGGGGAGCCGCGCACTTCGTGCGCGGCGGGTCATACAACGTATGACAACTACTTAGGATAGGATAGGACGTCCGCCAAAATCGCAGATCTTCAGACCACCGCCCCCCCCCCCCCTGTCAGGGTGTGTCCAAATTTTGAAAACCACCCACTCCCCCGGATTTCCAGCTACTTTTAAGAAGCTACTTAGTAGTGGTACAACTACAAATAAACAAAACTCAAGTTCATAAATTAAATGTAGGGGGTGCACGATAAAAATAAACTTGCTCGGATTTTCAAAATTTTTGTATAATTGTTCTTAGAGACTGTGAGAATTTTCGCAGTACCAAATTTGTCATAACTTTTTGGAATGATCAGTGAGTTTTGCCTAGGTACCATATTTGATGGTGCGCGGCTTTTGGAGCAAAAGTAGCTGTAAAAATGTGTAAAAGTCCGCTCCTACTAAATCGCTCGCCCAAATAAAAGCCCCTTCCAATATAGGGCTTTTACAACTGTCCGAAAAATTTGGTGTTCCAAATGGGGCAAAATACGCTGCTTTTAGCTGTAATATAATGTCATGTCTGATGGTTGGATATGCTTTAAACTTTTGATCGGACACTTTCCTTTACTAATACTTGTAAGTCTATGAGTAAGCTTACCAATTTTTGTTGCAATTGGAGGTCGGGAAGGATACTCAATATCTATTTGTTTGAAGAAAATTGTGCTGGCCGAAATTAGCGCTAAAAAACCACCTACAGTCGGCACGCGCGGCTCACTGTCGATGTGCGATGGCGCACTACTTATTGAATGGGACTTTTTCATTAATTCTGCCAAAATTTCCGGATTATCAGAAACTACCCCCTCCTCCTGTCCGGATTTGTCCGAAATTCCAAAACCACACCCTCCCTCCGGGCCTCTCTATAAATGGTTTTTAATAAATGGACAAGACTGGCGTGCACTACTTCGTAGTACTTGCCGAGTAGAAAGCGGCGCGCGCTACTTCAAAGAAATTTAGACGAGTAACATTCGTCAAGGTAACCTTCCCTCAATACAATTTTAACAAAAATTGGTTAGCTTACTGACAGACTTACAAAGAAACTTTCCGAAAAAAAAATTGGGTATATCCACAATCCAATCATCAGACATGTTATGTTACAGCTCAACAAAACGTCTTTTGACCCATTTTCATCACTATAGATGTGGATACTGGCGGGGAGGTGATAATTGTTTGTTTACATTAATAGTGAGCACATGTTAAGCAGGCTGAGGAGGTGATAATTGTTTGTTTACATTTTAGGTCGAGCACATGTTAAGCAGGCTGAGGAGGTGATACATATTTTGTATTATAGAAGGTTTGTAACACTTGTAACGCCTTCTTGTTACCCCCCTTTGAGGACCCCGAATTATTTTCTGAACGAAAGCTCAAAAATAACCGAGAAATCGACCTTCTTATTAACTCATTTTGATGACTGTTTCTGACCTAAAATTGCACGAAAAATCGATTTAGCTAGGTTTCAGAACCTATAAACACTTCCTTATCCCTCAAAATTGATGTTTTATAGTTAATACGACCAACAAGCAACATATATTTTGATCCTTCGGTTCTACTCATGACCTAGACAGTTAAGCTGAACCCGACAGATTGAGGCAATCCTCACCTTAACTGATCAAACTGGTACTAACACAATTTTCAGATATAAATGTTCTTTGCGATACGTTTATTGCAGCTTTGCAACTTGAGTGAAGACCAGAGTACGAAAACACACAGCAGGTAAGCAACTCACTTTTGGTGACTGTTCCTCACGAACATTCTGATCCTGTAACATATGAACAGGGAGATCGTCCCCTTAACAAATCGAACAGGTACTATCACAATTTCCAGAGCACAGCATGATAACAAAGTCAAAAGAAACACAATGAAGGTAGGTTACCAACACCACAATATAACAATCATACTGACAACTGAATTAAATGTATTCTGACGACGGGCAGCCCTGATGTGCTCCGTGGTTCTCAACGAGCGCGGAGCGACCACTTGTAATAGAGGTGTTATGTCATGTGACACCGATCCGTCCAATCACAAACAGGAAAAGTGAGCAGATCGATATCGTGTGTTTACTTTCCTTATCTTTATTTGACCCTCTGTTCACATTGTTATCTCTACCACATCTTGACTCGGCAAGGTCCGCGTGCAATATCTGCACCGCGGTAAACACGCCATGATTACGTCATGAACTTGAAATAGTGTGATTGTTGTACACTTATATAACCGTGCCCATCGCCCACGTACATTACAAACTGTTTGGGGGGGGGGGGGGGGGGGGGTGGGGGCGGGGGATGGGGTTTAAGATAAACAACCGATCTTGATAGTGTGTTGGTCGCTCCTCCAACTGACTGTGATGCTTATCGTCCAGTCAGGAACAGAATAATAACATAATTTTTTAGTTATAGTATGTCTCGGCTGAACTGCGGAGATAAGTACAGTTTGCTGTAATATGTACAGTTTGCTGTAATATGTGGTCGCGATTATCAACTCAGTGGAATTCCAAATGATGAACTGTGCTTTAAGTTTACACCAACTGGAACCAAAGGAATATACCCATGAGTGCTCCCTAACTTAACTTGGACGGTAAGTGTTTGACAATAAAAACTAGGACACGAATTCTCTGACAAGAAATGTTAGCAGGTTTAAATAAAATATACCTGCAATTAGCAGGTTTAAATAAAATATACCTGCAATTAGCAGGTTTAAATAAAATATACCTGCAATTAGCAGGTTTAAATAAAATATACCTCCAACTGACTGTGGTGCTTATCGTCCAGTCAGGAACAGAATAATAACATAATTTTTTATTTATTCAAGTAGCCCTGGTCATTTAAAAAAAATCGTTGTCGACCTCCCTTAAAAAAACAGGGTTCAAATTGACCAGTTGGGCGCACACGAATGCGATGTCGCTCAGATAAGGCAACATCAGCGACCAACACACTATCAAGATCGGTTGTTTATCTTAAACCCCATCCCCCGCCCCCACCCCCCCCCCAACAGTTTGTAATGTACGTGGGCGATGGGCACGGTTATATAAGTGTACAACAATCACACTATTTCAAGTTCATGACGTAATCATGGCGTGTTTACCGCGGTGCAGATATTGCACGCGGACCTTGCCGAGTCAAGATGTGGTAGAGATAACAATGTGAACAGAGGGTCAAATAAAGATAAGGAAAGTAAACACACGATATCGATCTGCTCACTTTTCCTGTTTGTGATTGGACGGATCGGTGTCACATGACATAACACCTCTATTACAAGTGGTCGCTCGTTGAGAACCACGGAGCACATCAGGGCTGCCCGTCGTCAGAATACATTTAATTCAGTTGTCAGTATGATTGTTATATTGTGGTGTTGGTAACCTACCTTCATTGTGTTTCTTTTGACTTTGTTATCATGCTGTGCTCTGGAAATTGTGATAGTACCTGTTCGATTTGTTAAGGAGACGATCTCCCTGTTCATATGTTACAGGATCAGAATGTTCGTGAGGAACAGTCTCCAAAAGTGAGTTGCTTACCTGCTGTGTGTTTTCGTACTCTGGTCTTCACTCAAGTTGCAAAGCTGCAATAAACGTATCGCAAAGAACATTTATATCTGAAAATTGTGTTAGTACCAGTTTGATCAGTTAAGGTGAGGATTGCCTCAATCTGTCGGGTTCAGCTTAACTGTCTAGGTCATGAGTAGAACCGAAGGATCAAAATATATGTTGCTTGTTGGTCGTATTAACTATAAAACATCAATTTTGAGGGATAAGGAAGTGTTTATAGGTTCTGAAACCTAGCTAAATCGATTTTTCGTGCAATTTTAGGTCAGAAACAGTCATCAAAATGAGTTAATAAGAAGGTCGATTTCTCGGTTATTTTTGAGCTTTCGTTCAGAAAATAATTCGGGGTCCTCAAAGGGGGGTAACAAGAAGGCGTTACAAGTGTTACAAACCTTCTATAATACAAAATATGTATCACCTCCTCAGCCTGCTTAACATGTGCTCGACCTAAAATGTAAACAAACAATTATCACCTCCTCAGCCTGCTTAACATGTGCTCACTATTAATGTAAACAAACAATTATCACCTCC